GAACTTGAGACATAAAGGAAACACTTCTCAACGCTTGTGAGTGGCGACACTGGTAGTGCAACAAAGCGCTCGGGATCGATAAAATACCTTCTGAGGTTTAAAACTTTGTAGAAAACGACAAAAAAATCCAACGAATTTTCGCTTAAATTTCAAACTTTTTTCTCAGAAGTGTTAGAATTTTTTTTAGTAGATACACAGTTTTATAGCCCATTCAATTTTAATATGCAAGTTTCAATTCGCTTAAAATTACACTTAATTTTTTAGAATTTTTGTATTGGTTATATGAAAGCAAACGAGACAAAAAATAATCTAAAAAATCAATGGTAATTTTTAGCCACTTGAAACTTGCACATTATCGGACTAAAATTGAATGGGATATAAAACTGTATACTACAAAAAAACAAAAAAAAAATCGAACACTTCCGAGAAAAAAGTTCGAAATTTGGGCGAAGATTAGAATGACCTGTATTTGAATTGAAAATTCTTAAAAATAAATAATTAAACATAAGTGACAAGCAATATCACTTTGAAATGGGGGTGCTATTGATATTACCTATGCTGTATATTTGAAGGTTGGAGCCTTCACATACTTTGTGCCAATTATGGCGAGTTAGGCTTCCTAATATTGAAAGTAAGGTCTTATCGTTGATACGAAAAGCTGGAGAAATTCATAGGCCCTTTTTATACAAACATCCTCTACTTAGTAACAAAACACATAAAAATAAAATTTCTGAACTTTGCGGAAAACTCAGGAAAACACAATTAAATTTCATACAAATTTGCAACTTTCTTATTCGATTTTTGCGATTTTTTTTCAGGTTTGTATGGAAGAAATTGTGTGACACTGAAACTGCATTTTCAAAATTTTTCTAAAAAACTTCATTGGAAAGTTGCAAATTTTTATAAAAATTTATTGAATTTCCCCATGTTTCGAACGAAGTCTAGAAATTTAATTTTTATGTTTTTTGTTATAGTATAAACTATATCAAAAAAATAAAAAAATTAGCGGAAAAGGTAAAATAAAAATTTTTGCATACATAAAAATTCTCTGTTCCAATATTTTTATCCGACAGTGTATTTTTTTCTTTTTAATCGCACAGGTCATACATATTCGGTTCCCTTTATAGCAAAGCTTTCAATGTTTCCAACTCGTGAGAATTCGTATCCTTTTCAAAATAATTGAGAATATATTTGTAATGCGTTTTTATTTAAAAACTCAAAAGTATTTACACAAACATCAGAGCGATGTCCATCATTCCACTCAAGCTATTTTATTTTTATAATTTCCAACAATACTCGTTCATTCATCAGTATACACTTGTAATAAATTAATATCCATACAATATTGCCCCAATAAAATGCAAAAATTACTTTTCTTAAATACATTCTCTAAGCAAATTTGTTTATCAACGTCGATGTAAAATTTCCATGAGAATTATTTACATAGGTATTGTTAGCTAAGCCGACAGTCAGTCAGCCCATTCACCTGCATCCATGTCTTTCAATAAACATCATTTGAAAGGCTTTCTTATGAAATTTTGAGCTATTTTTAACGCAGCCCACCACTTATGAATGAGTCCAGTCATTTATTATACTAAATAAAAATGCACATGTATACATACATACATATATACATATACTGTAGCGAGTGTAACTAACTGAGTATATGGACTTATTAAAACCGTCTAGTGTACTGCATACGTACGCTGATAAATATTAAAAATTATGACAAACACTTTTTAATTTTAAGCTAACACGAAAGCTAAGACTGTAAATATGTACTTATGTATGTAAATATGATCCATATATACATATATATATATATATATATGTATGCGCATTTGTAATGCAATACTTACCGAGTAAGATCTCCACTGTCGCCTCGCTCATGTAGTCGTGACAATCAAACGTTTTTCCACCCTCGGCGCGCAATTTATGCACCACATGAAGAGAATTCTCGTTGAATAGATCAATGAAACTCTTCAACACATTCAAATGGAATGTTGGCGCAATCAGTTTGCGATGAGCACGCCATTTTGCACCTGTTTGTATGAATATGACATTTATCAAATTAATATAATATATAATTAAATTAAGAACTCTAGTTTTTATTTAGAATAAATTGCTTAAAAGCTTTTACGTTTAAGTTGTGAATTCTGGAATTTTTAAAAGCGCATAATCAGTTGCATGTCTTAATACATACATACATACAAGGGTACATATTAGAGTGGTTCAAAAAAAAAAATTTTTTTTTTTAAATTCATAAACGCTGCCTCAAATTATTGTTATTTGTGTTAAAAAAGAGAAACGTGTTTTTTTTTTATTTGGAAAAAAAAGTTTTCTTAGAGGTCGCGCTGGTCGGTTTTTTTTATAAAAACGCTGATGTTCTCAATTTTTTTATTTTCTTGACATGTTAAAATGCAGCTAAAAATGTGACTTTTACATATAATTACTCTGGTATTATTGGCGAACATTCCCTTAATTACATACCTGCATTGGGAAGTTAGAATGGGCCTAGTGCCCGAAAATATGCTCTCGAAAAGAGACTAGTATAATTAAAACGTTGATACTGAACCAGGGGGTTTCTGGGGTTGCTAATTAGGAATCTGAAGTCAGTTTTTCAAAATTCATAATGGCGGATCCAAAATAGCGATCAAATTAAAAAAAAAAACTAAAATTAAAACGTTGATACTGAACGTTTTAAACATTGTCAAGGGTTGAAACTCGTTTCCAGTGGATTTGTGGGGTTGCTCATTAAAATGGCGGTTAAGAGTTTCAAACAAATCCAATATTTTTTTATTTTTAGAGTTGGTCGCCATTTTGGATCCACCATTATTTATTATTTATTTCAACAAAGATTAATTGGAGGAAAAATACTGATAAAAATGAAATATTTCACACAAACAGGGTTGCAATTTTGAAATTCCTGCCCGTATTTTATTTGTAAGTCAAATATTAGTGGGGTTGTGCTACTGTGAAATCACGGCCGAGTAATCATAGTCAACTTATGTACAGTAGTCGAAAAAATTATAGCCGCACCAAATTTTGTTATTATTTAATTTTGGTTAGTTTTTTATAGTTCATTATTTACCAACATCCGTATAAATACGAGTTTAAAGGCAGTGTCACACGATTAGGAATTTGCCGAAATTTGGTGCAAATCGTATCCCAATTGTGGTATTCACCCAAATATTTTTCTTTATCCCAATCACGAAAAATAATTTGTTGAAATTTTTCAATACAAGATTGCTGTATTGTACCAAGGTTTTGACCACAAAAAAAAAAAAAATGTCCCCATTATTTGATTTTGTACCAATAGCCCAATATAAAAATGCACAAATCTGTACAAATGTACCAATCGAGTGACACTGCCTTAAAAATTTATGCAATTAAACAAAAAAAATTTAACGAATTTTCCTAAAAATTTCAATTTTTTATTAGATTCTGAGTATGCAGTTTTGTAGCCCATTGAATTCTAGCAAAATAAAGTACAAGCTTAAAATTGCAAAAATTACGGTTGGTTTTGTAGAATTTTTAAAAAAGCTCGAAAGGAAAAAAGCACAAAGGTGGTAACTTGGATTTCCACGGGTTTTGTTAAAGAGAAAAAAAAACCAAAATTAAATAACAAAAAAAAAAA